ATATTGGATATGGACATGATGATATTATTGTTTATAAAGAAAATAATAAAACAAAATCATCTTGTAACCAAGAATCCTTTTCATATAAAGGAATAACAAATTTACTTTGTGGAAAACAAGAACCAGAACATTTCACACCACAACGAATCATTGTGGTTGAAATGGAATGATTTTTATTCATTATTATTTATTTGAAATATAAAAATTAAAAAAGAATATAAAATAAAATCAATAAATGAACATGAATATTTCATTTATCAATAAATGAAATGGTGAATATAAAAATGTTCACATTTCATTCTTGTTTTATTTTAATTGAAATAATCATATTCAATGTGTTAATTTAATAAATAATAAAAAGAAATAAGAATAAAAGATAAATAAAAATATAATAAAATATTTATTTTATTTTTTTTTATTTATTTTTTATTTTATTTATATTATTTTATATTTATTTATTTTATTCTTCTTCTTTTATCTTTATATCTATTATATATTTCTTATTTATTATTTATGTTATATTCTTATATCATTTTATTCTTATTTTATATTTATTCATTATTATTCATTTCATATTAACAATGATAAATATCAATAAATATATAATAAATAAATGATATAAGATAAACAACAATAAATAATAATAATAAAATATAAACAAACAATATAAACAAATATAAAATAATAAAATGTTACCTAATATAAAATAATAATAACAAATAATAAAAATAAAAAATAAATGATGTTTAGAAAAGAAAAAAATGAAAAAAAGAAGAAATAAAAGATGATATTCAAAGATAAAAATCAATATAAAATATCAAATCAAATATAATAAATAATAAGAATAAGAATGATTATATCTTATTTTATTATTATATTCTTCTTTATATTCTCTTATTTTATTATTTTATATAATTATTATATTTAATTTATAATATCAATTTCATTTATAAATAATATATTTTTATTAAATATTATAATTTATTTATATTTAATGAATGATGAATTATTACTGATTATTCTTCATTTAATTCTCTTATTTTATTCTTTATTTGTTTGTTTGTATAGATTCGAATGTTTCAAGTCAAAAAAACACCACACAAATCAATAAAATATTTACAGCATTTAAACCTCATAGTTATGGACTGGTTATGATGTCGTATTTAGTTGGAAAAACATCTTAATCAATACTGCAAGGTCAATGATTAATGGGATATCATTGATAATAAAAGAATGGGTATTTATAAAGGTGTTATTATTACTTGTGAGGATACAAGTATATTTGATAATATAGTATTATCAATGGAAAAGGGTTTAGTGATTGATACTAAAATGAAAATTAGCCAATAGCAATATAGTAGTAATTATATATTCTTCTTAAAATAAGAAAATAAAGAAGAAGAATTTTAAACGCATCAAAATCAAATAGAAATTAAATAATGAATGTTTAAATAATAGATGTTTAAGTACTCTATTCAACATCAGATAGATGTGAAAAGGAAATTCACACATTTCAACAACTAAAATCAATGAATAACTAAAAATGTTGAATAAACACTTTTAAAGAAAAGTAAAGGGATTACTTAATCTCCAATGAACAAGAGGTGATAGAAAAAAAAATTTATATTGGCACTTAATTAAAGACTTTTTATTTAAATTAAATTCAATCCTAATGATATTTTCAATTATTTCTTATCACTTTTGTTTATATATATTATCATTCCTTCTTTATCTTATTCTTTCTATTTTATCCATTTCTTTTTCATTTCTTCAATATTTCTATTTATCTTTGATATTTTATGTTTCAAACTTCATATTGATTTTTATTAATCTGTATTCTAAATATCATCTAACAATTTCATTGTTAATATTATTATTTATTTCATTCATTATTATTCATTATTATTTGATTTATTTTATCATCCTTGACTCTTGATGCATTATGATTTAAATTAGTTCTTTATACTAAAATTTATGATATTGTTTATACATTATTTTCATTTACATTATATTATTTTTGTCCAATTCTAATAATGAATAAAGTGTATTGTATTATTATAATAATGATTTTCAATAAACGAGTTAACATAAATACTATTTTAATCATTTTGTCATTTGTAATACTATTTCAGTTCATTATTATTATTTTCACTCATTTTTTATTTATTCTATTTACATCTTCTTATTTTAATTTCAATAACTAAAGTTTCAAAGTAATCAAATTTTAACATAA